CGATGGGCTGATCTCCCGAGAGCAACTCTTTTGGACAGCTGAGCAAGCTGGAAGGTGCTCAGTCTCCTCCCGCGTCTCCTCCCCCGCAGGCAGGCGCTGCAGAGGACAGGTGAAGTGCATTCTCTCTCCTGCTGTGCCTGGGTTTTAAGCCCTCTCTGCAGGGAAGGCTTGTCCAATTAACTGAATTAATTAGGGGTCAGATGGCCACAAATGGAAATCACTGCGACCCAGCTGCAGATGGCAATGCTGGCAGGACCCAGGTGAGTGCGGGGCGGGGCCAATGAAAGCGTGGGGTGGGGCCAATGAGAGTGTGGGCGGGGCCAAGGAGAGTGTGGGCGGGGCCAAAGAGAGCGTGGGCGGGGCCAAGGAGAGCGTGGGCGGGGCCAAGGAGAGCTCCGGTAGGGAGGGGGCCACAGCACTGACCAACCTCTGAAGCTGCCCCGGCTTGTTCTCTCCGGGTCTCAGGCGAAAGCCCAAAGTCACGGTGTGAAGTCTGGAGCTTCACGTCCGCAATCAGCAGCGCACACTCGGGTAGAGAAGGCTTTGGGACTATAGCAGATGGGAAGCTGTGCCAAGGGAGGGAATAAAGAGGCCCTTGTCGTCGCTGTACACTGGGCGCAGAGCTGTGCCCGCTGCGTGGTGGAGAGGCGTTTACTTTAACACGCTTAGCACGAGTCTAGCGAGCCTGTCCTTGGCTGCGTTCCTCACATTATGTGTGACCTTCAAGTCCTTGAACAGGGTAGAAAATTTCCACCAACCTATCCATTCATCTTCCCACTCACCTATTTGTCCATCTATCCATCCATATATTCAACCACCCTCCCATCCATCCATCATCCATCCACCCACCCACCTAGTCATCCATCCACCCACCCACCCATCCATCCATCCACCCACCCACCCACCTAGTCATCCATCCACCCACCCACCCACCTACCCTCCCATCAAGCCACCCATCCATCTAGTCACCACTCACCTACTCACATATCCACCCACCCATTTATCCAAGTGACATGGTTTGCCTCGGAGGCCCAAAGTGGGCATCTCTGAGCCAGTGCCCTCATGCAGCCAGCTCCTGTGCTTGGGGAGGAAGGAGAGACCATGCGTGCGGGTTGGGGTGCTGGGCTAAGGAACGAGTCACAGCCCCTCCCATTGCTTCACTGTGTCCTGGTCCTCGCTGCCTCTGAGCTAAGTTGTTGTTACTGTCTCGGGGCAGGGCTTGGTCAGGGACACTGGGCTCGCCCTCAGAGGCTGCCTTGCCCCGCTGAGGGCTCCTTTCAACATGCAGCCCCTTCACTCTGATGATCACAGTGGAGGCTCCAACCCCGGCGGGAATCGCTTTATCATGGAGCAGCAACCCTGAAGGAGAAGCTTCCTGGAAACCAACTTGTAGCTCAGGCACTATGGACCAGAGCAAATGGGTTTGTGACTAGTGGCCCTGGCATGAGTTTGAGCTTTTACCAGCGAAGCACCTGGAATGTTTGCCAAGGGCAAAATATAATAACTCATTTACTCCCTGGAAAGGAATGGTTTTTAATAAGTGGGTCACATTCGCCAACAGCAGAGAATTCTGTTCTCTTCTGTTTTTGAAAAATCTTTTACATGGAAATAAGTTTAATGCTTGGATGTATGTTTATTCGTCTGGAGTCTTGA